GCTTAAGATAATAAGTCTTTAGTTAGTAATACTTTTTTTCTATTGGATCTACCTAATAATATAGGCCTAATAGGCAAGTCGAGGATACGTACTGTATTAGATTATAGACGCTACGCTAGACAGGTCTTTCTCTAGAAGTATCCTACTTAGTATTAAGCTAAGCAGCTCTCTTATTGAGCATTCTCTTTATAATAGAGGCTTTTCCTTTTACATTATTAGCAGCAGACTCATACGCAAAGCCCAGCTACGTATTAATATAAAGATCAGTGCCGATATTCAAAGCGAAAGCGTCGATACCTACATATCGGGCGCGCTTCATATCGCCATCATAGTCGCTAGCACTCTAGCGGTTACTAACGATTCCAACCTAACATAAGTCAGTACTAGATCCACAATCCAATAGGGGATGTCGGAGGGTCATACCATAAAATAACAGAAAACCAATTTATTTCCATCATTCTCATCAGAACTAGCCATAGTAGCAGTATATTCATATAGGAACGAGGTAGCTACAATAAAGGGTATAAGGCCAACCAGGGTCACAATAGGTCCCAACAATATAAACTCTAGAATACATGCGTGGGTTAGCATACTATCACAACGAAACCCCACAGTAAAAAGAATAAGTAAAACGATAAGAAAATGTAAATACAACATATGACTACGATCATATATTCATATATACGCATATCTTATATTCTCGTTCATTTCTCAAATCCAACATATCAGGAAAATAGCCCATAAAAATTTTTGTAACTATTAAGAAATTTGCTATAGAGGAGCACCCCAGAGACTATATTAACCCCAATAGCTTAGGCTCGGAGAGGAATAAGATAGTGAATGGCCCGTGCACACTAGATTATTATGAAGACAAGGTCCAAAAACGTACAGAGCGCAACCAAGTCCTTGTTTATGTATGTAGTTATTGTATCCTGCATATCGTTCGCGAGGGGACACGGTAAATGAATTCTACTACTACAACTACTGTTATATGCAGGTTTCTTACTATTGTGTCTGACCAGATTATTAAATAACGGACCATTATTGTTTTTAGTTAGAGAAATTTAGCATCGTGAATTTACCAGTACGCTCGCCATACAACTGATTTCTGCCAAGTTCTTCAATATATATAAACTTCTCAATACACCACTCTCCCTCAATTTACTACCTTCCCTTGGTCAACTCATTTTTCCTTTATGCTTTTACACAAGTTTTATCTAGTCACATTACTATGGTTATCTACTCAAAGAGACTCCCTTAACTAATCTAGCAGGTATATCTAGTTCATTTATATATTTATCGTTTAAATAACCCTTAAAACAGTTTATTAACAAGTTATATAGGGGAGTGTGTGGTAAATGCGACGTTATAGACAATATAATCAATTAATTTCCAGGCAAACATTCATTTCCACACTATACAATTGCGTACAGCACAATACTAATACACAGAGTCCTAGCACTAAGCTACACATTTGTCGTTCGGGTTAAAATAGAATTTTGAGATTTAACAGGCAACCCCTAGCAGCCGCCCTCACCAAATGAAACAAACTAAGAGTTGCACAAGTTCCTTAATAAATTTTTTCATCTAAGTAGAGTACGTAGATAGCCCAAGAAGTTCCCCTTCAGGGCATATTTACTATAACCCTTACATAATCTATCCATCGACTAAGTGTGCACCCTCTAATTACCGAGGATCAAATTACTATAGAAGAAAAATGACTTCTATTATCGGAAGAGCTCTAATATCATCTACAATAGAAATTACTCTACCCTTCTGCAAGCGGTGTAACTAGATAGGATAATTTCTTGTTAAATTGAAGTACCTATATTAGTACTAGAAATGGAAATACATTAATTTTATATTTAATTCGCATATATATACTATAATGTAACTATATAAATCCAGCCTACTCCATAGGATCACAGGATCTACTAGTAAAATAAACAAGAATGGTTCACTATATCCACGTCTATAATAGACAGTATGGGATTACTACAGATACTATATACCGAAATATTCGACTTCTAGAGCAGGCAATTAATAACAAATTTGGGGAGAATGCTCAGTACTATAGTATCTGCTATCACTAGGATCGAATACGACTCTACCTATCCTGGCTCCGAAGGGAACTCGTCTATACATGTGTAGGGGAGAAGGGAAACAACCTTTTGAACGAGGTGTGGTACAACACATGGATATTCCGCATTAATCTGAAAATTGAAGGCAATTTGGATGAACGGACCTCACGGGCGCTGCTAGGGTTACATATAAAGGTGGAGAGGATCCAATTCACAGAAAGGGGTCCCAATGAAACTATAAAGCGTATGCGCCACTTGAGGGACGAGATCCTATGGCTAGCTGATGGGTCAGTAAAGTTGAGCGATACAGGCGACAGTCGATACTTCGGAAGACGATTCGAGATTGGAAGGGACATATGATAGAAGTACACAGGAAAGAAGGGAGGGGTGCCACTATATATGTTTAATGGAAATGATTGATTTACTATTTCAGATTTCATTAAGATATAACTAGAGCTCGCTACGTTTACATCAGCCCCCGAGTCCTTTTCTTGGCAGTATTCCAGTACAGTCGCAAATAACAGCCAAAATTTGCCTTCGTAGTAAGCTTGTATCACCTTCGCGTCCAGGATATTGACCTGTGGGCAAGACGAACGAAACGGTTACTTTGAGAAAGGGAGTATTGGCGCCATGTTGCAACGAGAAGTCTAGACGCCAATAGAGGAGAGATGCTTTTGCCCGATCTCGATCAGAAGCGTTTCTCTAGAAGCTCATCTGATTCCATCATAATAACTGCGGGCCTGTGGAGGGAATAATTCTCACTAAGATAATGTAGCTATTGATATGAAGGGAGAAACAAAACACCACAGATCATACTGTATCCCGTATGACCAATCAGCAGTTAGCGTAGTTTACCGCTTCATGCCCGGACAATATGCTTTTATGGTGATGATGGGACGAGAACAAAATAAAGACAGAATAGTAGGGAAAGGTCCAGATATAAAGTCAGGCTGCCGGAGTTAAACCAATAAATTCAGGTCTACGCTAGTCTCCGACCTGAACATGCACCGGACCCTCTGATTGAATGCAAAGAGAACAAGCATCGTTCAGATCAGAATCGTGATCTTCCATATACAGTAACCATGTAAGCAGATCCAAGCCTCCCTGCAGAACTAAGTCTGGAATTGAATCCACGTCAATTTCTACCGCATCGTTGCTGCAGTGTATCGAGACATTGCAAGCAACGTGACTGGAACTCGAACGGCGGCTACGCGGAAGAAATATAACACTCGAAGCGGGTGTGCAGCTGCACGAAATACACACATACTTGAATTCGAAAGGTGCGATGGTAGTGGGGGATCATCAAACGCGGTTGGCATTGCTGGCGGGTGTGGAGACCGCCATTCTGCTCCAGTTTGGAAATGGCAAGCGATAAAGTTCCCATGAGATTCATGTTGTATTGGCAGATGTAAGTTTTTGCAGACAACGTGCACGTGTTGACTTTGTTCTAAATGACATTCTGCCAGGGATCGCTGATATTTGCATACGCGCAGATTAAATATCAATGGAAGCCGCCAGAATCTCCACCGGACCAACGGGGTTCGCTCAGATGTGGGTTAGAGGTCGCTTCCTGGGATTGTTAAGCTTCTTGCCTAGTGGCCCGGCACGTTTATCAATAGAGTCCTCGACCCTTTGCAGGTAGACGACGAAATAGTTATAATGGGTGAAGTCCAGGTGAGTTTTGTCAGCCTCGTTGCGGATTGTATTCGTCAGGTGCTCAAAGCGATGACGCATGCGATCACGGTCCGAAAAATTATTACAGAAATGTGGCTCCCATTGCTGTATCCAGTTGGAGAAATCAGGCACGGACTGAGATGGGCGCTGGTGACTTTCCATGTATCGCGCCTTGGCCACCTCCGGATAGACTCCATTCTGAAGCTGGTGAATAAGAAATGTGCAAAATCCACCAAATGTAATTTGCTCACTGGAAATGTCGCGTATCTGTCGATTCCACTCATTCTTAAGATTAAAGGCAACATGCGTTAAGCGTTAGGGCCCAGTGTCAGGGACTAGTTGATTTTGCGCTCGTCGGGTTTGTACCATTCTGGATATATTTTTAAATGACGCTCTAGAACCCTAGCGTAGGTCTTGAATTCCCCGAGGGCTCGACCATGGTAGACTGACACCTTAGGGCCTGGGGGAGCTTGAGTATTTAGATTGGCCGAGCTCGGACGACATCACCCGAGCTCTATGGCCGCGTTTCTGGACATGCAACGGAAACGACGGGCGTGGACTCGGATTGAGAAAGCGAAAGCATCCCATTGGAGACAGTTCCTCGATGAAGCGGGCGAAGGCAAGCTCTGGAAAGCCGCAACTTACATGAAACCTCGGGAGACCTGGGAATGCAAGATGCTCGCGGAAGCTCCGAAATCTCTTTCAATAGCCAACGTTCCTCTTAAAGTGGCAAATATACCCAATAAAATGCGTATTGTTGCTTCGGGGACGCGGCAAGCGGGAAGTGGGGCAACCCGCAGATCTAATTCCTAATTGAATTAAAACGCCATCATGTTTCTAATATTGAAAAAGGAACAGCGCACATTACCAGATTCCACAATAGCTGGCCAATAACTGCAGTTGGTCAGCAGAAGTACTTGCTAACCTTTTCCCCTACCTTTATACTGCCTTTGTTACATCGTAGGTCGAAACCTGTGTAAACTCTCACTCTATATGTAAAACAGCGCGAAGTTCAATGCTTAGTATAACGATAGTAGCTTTCGCTTGGTATGGTATCTTCTCCCAGACTTATCTCATATAGGCGATCTACCTCCTTCCACGCAATTTGTGCAGTTTCCAATCATATACTGGGTGTCGTGTTATTATTAGGCACATTCAACACCCGACCGCAATTCATGGATCTTAAGGGATTTGGAAAAAAAGCACATCTTTGAAATTGCCTAGGTCCATGCAAGAGTTATAAACTTAAAGGCAAGAGTCAGAGAGAACAGCCGCTGGAGTGGGACTTTCATCCAAATCAGACTCGTGATCCCACTTGTCTCTGACTGTCACCGGCAAAACGTTGTTGACACCGCCACCCTGGGCCCTTAAATTCAACGTCTGAACACCCTCTTCGTGCTCAATCTCAATTTTTCCACTCTCCGTGCTCCGAACGAATGAAATAATCATATGAAGCAAATTGGCGAATTTGACCAACTCCACTTGGTGGGAGCTTTCCCAATGCTTGATCTTCTCTCGCACATCCTGAACACGGATATCTTCAAACGTTCCAGACTTGTGATACGCAAGAACAAAGTTAGGTATCTGCCCAATCCACAACCGTGCTAGCTCATCTCCCAAAGTGTCAACATCCATTCTCTTAATAGACCGAGTCTTCAAGTCAAACACAGCAGACTGTGGAATATGCTGACCCCCCTTGGTGATTTCCAGCTCATTCGACATATCAGCTACATCGACGGGATGGCAACTCACGATCACTGTTCCCTCTAGTGACGCTAGAAGACCCTCTTCTTGTTCTTTTTCAGTCTCGGGGTCGTGGTTCTGCATTGTCTTCAAGCCGGGAACCAACTGGGGCAAATACCCATCAGCCTCGAAACGAACCAGGCAGTTGAGGCCTGCAAAATCATAGTTTATCAACCGCTGATGGGATTCCGACCCTTTGACACGAGCGTTCCACGTGGTGTATGCCTCTGGGAATGTATGTCCGTATCCCCGGACATCGGGGATCCTCTCAGTAGGCGAGTTCTCCCTTCGGATCAGGAAAACTGTCTGGCCCACCAGCTCGACAATTATTCTGAAGGGCTGATTTTGACCCCGTGCAAAACGCAGCAAGTTACCCATTGTGCTCCCGCAACCTACGATATCCAAGTTGGCCAAGGAAAAGTCGGGCTTGTCCGTTAAAATTGCGCGGATCATTGGTTCCAATGGATACGTCGGGTATCGTGCGGCATTTAGATCGCGATAGTACTGGCCTGAGTCTTCTCGGAGCTTGGTAGGGCGTAAAAGTGGTGTCCAGGCCGGTGGCTCGCCTAAAGATATACATTAGTTTATTGATGACGGCGATACATATAATTTGAACGGGAGTCTTCACCTGGAACAATGATTTGATGACTGCTCTTGTCAAGCCAGTTGTACGATGTCAGATACTGACTGCCGGTGATCTGAGCAGCACTGTCTTTTTCGTCCTTTGCCTCTTCAAGGTCATTATGTTGAATAGCTGCGAGGATATCGCCCAGTGGTGGGGCTGGAGTTGGAACTGTGTCGGTCCTAGACATGCCTCTCCTTCCAGTATTCCTTTCCCTCCATTTTCCTCCTCGAGATTTAAAGGATAGCATTTTTAAGCTTATTTTCGGCAGTAGATGATCTTGCTATGCTGATGGGCGGCTGTCGGAACAGGTGAGAATCGTCCCGGATTTTATTAGACCATCACGTATAGTACGTTGTTGGTGAGCTTGTGCGGGGGTTCCAATTTCTGTTTGATTTTAGATATACCCCTGTCTATGCCTGCCGCTCGCCACGTCACAGCCCCGCATCTCGGTGGTGCTTGCACGGCAATCTTTTGTGCCCAGTGCGTTAATACAATACTTTTCCCGCGAGGTTGCCCTAAGTAAAATGACTGTTGAAGCCTGGCAAAGACACAAACACCACCCAGAAGCACATGTTTTCGACGGAATTTGTACCCCAACGATAAAACTAGAAGGGAAGGTATCATCGGCGCCTTGGACGAGAGGAGAGCGGCCTTATCTTTGCCTTGGCTGGGCTGCTTATGCAGACAGGCAACCTGCATCTCTTTGTGTCTCAGCCAGTGGTTGATGACGTCTAAATAAATACTTTTCTGTCACTTGATGCTTTGCTGTTGGCAATCAACTTCACCGCCGTGTTTGCCGCTCATCCCTTTCTTCCTGAAATTCTGGACCAACGCCACCTTTTAAATCTTCTTGGAGCAAAAAGTAGCTCACCTTCAAGCAATATCGTTAGATACTCTTATTATCAACCTCATCATGTCTGCCATTATCGGGTCAGACAGACTGGCTAAATATCTCGGGGCTATCCTCCATGGAAAACAAGAAGTCCAAAATCTTCAGGACTTCAAAAAATTCATCGGAGCAATCCTGGATCAAAGCAACCCCTGTATTCTAGTTGAGAAGCTGGTGTCAAGCCAAAGCGGTTTGAAAGCTCTTCAGACTGGATTGAGATTCAACCTCACCCCGGCATTCCTCAATCAGCATACAGCAAAGTTCATCCGGTTTCTGAACAATCGTGATGTGAAAGCTCTTTGCAATGGAGCTTTCCTCGAACAACTTCTCGTCCTCATTGTGGAGCCCCGTACCCTCTGGAATGCCTTTCTGGATGCATTCTACACCCGAACATTGGAACATGATTCCATCCTTGCTTTCTGTTGGATGGTGTCGGAGCTTCTCGTCTTGCCCACCTCATCCGGTGTGAATATCAACGATGATGCCCGAAAGATGGTTGAAGATGGATATATTTCCTCATCGCTCTCCATTGAGTTGCGTAACATGGGCCACAAGATCAAACATCTGTTGGAAATGAGGCTCTCGTCGATGAATGCCACAACGTCGGACAGCAGCGCAGGCGGCCGGCATGATAACGATTTCTCTGATTTTCGGTTAACAGCTATTCTTCCCACAGCGGACGAAATGGGATGTACAGAAACGCCTTTCTATCGACAAGCCGAGGAGATTTCCCGGCTCTCCGGTGACCAGCGCATCGCGGCCCACCTTGACAATCAGTTTCGGCTCTTACGAGAGGACATGCTTTCGGGACTCCGAGACGACTTTCAAATTGCCCAAGGGATCAAAAAAGGCAGACGAAAGGCTTTTCGCTTGGAGGGGCTTTCGCTCGCCACTATATCTTGTACCTCGAGCACCAAGCAGCGTATTCAGCCATGCACCGTCGGCGTTTTCTGTCATCGCGGCCTTGAACCGGTCCAATTCCTTCCCAAGCCGGAGCGCAAAGGCTTTTTGAAGAATAACCATAGCTTTGTAAAACATCAAGCATTTGGTTGCTTGGTTCGAAATTCGCAAATTGTGGCATTCGCCACAATTGAGAGAGATATTGATAGCCTTGAAGCTGATCGACCGGTTGTCATGTTGCGCATCTCTGGCGAGGAAGCCCTCAAAAAATGTCTTCTTTACCTCAAGTTGTATAATGATGTGAACTTTTTGGTTGTTGATACGCCGATCTTTGCCTATGAGCCCATCCTAAAGTGCTTGCAAGACAGGATTGAAATGCCCCTGGTGGAAGAACTGTTTCTCTATGAGCACGGTCAACCTGTGCGACAATCAAGTCTGACGCCGTTCAATGTGGTTGAGAGACTGAAATTGAAATATGGGAGCGATCTTCAGGGAATACTTCAAACAAAATCCTCAGTGACCTTGGAGAACTCACAGCTCGACTCTCTCGTAGCTGGATTGTCACAGAGGGTCAGCTTGATCCAGGGACCCCCAGGTCAGTCAACAGTTGATACCAACGAGATATCGTTCGATGCTCCGGAGAGTGAATAAAGCTGACAGAATCACCAGGTACCGGAAAATCCTTCATAGGTGCGTTGCTCGCCAAGGCTCTACATGACCACACCACAGACAAAATCCTTGTGATGTGCTATACCAATCACGCTTTGGATCAGTTTTTGGAAGATTTATTGGACATTGGAATCGATGCCTCTTCCATCGTACGACTGGGTTCCAAGTCGACTCAACGCACAGAGCCACTTAGTCTGTTCAGACAACAATCATCCTATAAACGAAAACAAATTTCATGGAATACCATCAATTCACTTGAGTCAGATGCACAGAACCAAGCCTCGGAACTACAGAGCCACATCAAAATGTACCAGAATCAGATGGCAGATGCTTTGTCCATCCTGGACTATTTGGAATTTGAAGACCCAAAATACTTCGAGGCTTTGGCCATTCCTGAGAACGATGATGACATGGCCATGGTGACACGTTCTGGGAAAGCAGCAAAGGGGGACTACCTTTTCAACCGATGGATAGAAGGAAAAGACCCTGGAGTGTATTCTTCTTTTATTCCCTCCAACTGCCAAGATATCTGGGCGCTCGGGAAGGAGCCGCGGAATGACAAGCTTCAGTCATGGAGAAATGCCCTTCTGGCCGAGCAAGCTGCGTCACTGGCAAGCCGTATGAATTTGCTTGACAAATGCCAAAAGCGGTTGAGTGCTCTTTGGGGAGAGAAAACGAGAGTCATACTCAAATCAAAGCGCATCATCGGATGTACCACTACGGCTGCTGCAATGTATTCCGACGAGCTCCGGCATGTGTCTCCAGGAATCATGCTCCTCGAAGAAGCCGGTGAAGTTTTGGAGTCGCATGTCCTCACGGCGATGGGGTCAGAGACCAAGCATTTGGTTTTGATAGGAGACCACAAGCAATTGCGACCCAAGATCAACAGTTATAGCCTCAGCGCTGAAAAGGGGGACGGGTATGATTTGAATGTTTCTCTTTTTGAAAGACTCATCAATGCTGGTTACCCCCATACCACTCTGCTCAAGCAGCATCGAATGTGTCCTGAAATTTCAGGGCTCGTACGGAGCCTCACGTACCCCGGACTGGAAGACGATGATAGCACCAAAGATCGCCCTCAGCCACGGGGACTCCGCGATCGACTTATCTTCTTCCATCATAAACACCTTGAGGCTGGCTTTGCAGAGATAGCTGACCGACGAGATGAGGGTGCCAAGATGAGCAGGAAGAATGTTTTCGAGGCTGAAATTGTGTTGAAGATTGTGAAGTATCTTGGACAACAAGGCTATGGGACGGACAAGATAGTTGTGCTCACTCCGTATTTGGGCCAACTCTCCCTCCTGAGAGATACTTTAAGAAGCCAGAATGATCCCGTACTCAACGACCTTGACACCTACGATCTCCTACAGGCAGGACTCTTGTCACAGGCGAGCGCCAATCACTCAAAGCGGCAGCTCAAGCTTTCTACAGTTGGTGAGTATATGAGAAAAAGTCTTGATGCAACATTCTGACACGAAGTAATAGATAACTACCAAGGAGAAGAGAGCGAGATTGTCATCGCATCACTGACTCGGAGCAACAAGGATGGCGATGTCGGATTCATGGCAGCCCCTGAACGACTCAACGTTCTGCTTTCTCGAGCGCGGAATGTGTTAATATTGGTAGGTAATTCAGAGACGTTTGTTGCTAGTCGGAAGGGAAGAAAAGCCTGGAAGCCGCTCATCGATCAACTCAAGTCCAATGGGCATCTTTACGATGGATTACCAGTTCGCTGCCAGAAGCACCCTCAAATCACCGCCATTCTTCGAACAAATGAAGATTTCAACACCGAATGCCCTGATGGTGGATGCTCGGAGCCTTGGTAAGCCGGAAAACCTTACACATACTGTTACCGCACTGACCTTCAAAAGTGGAGTGATGTTGAGCTGCGGAAAACATGAGTGTCCATCCAAATGCCACCAACTTTCGGACCATTCGCAAATGAATTGCACAAAGATTGTGAAATGGAAATGTACGCGGAATCACAGCCTGTCCCTGTCATGCTCTCAGGTCAAGCGCGTCTGCCGTTTCTGTGTCAAAGAAGATGCTGCCAAAGAACGCAGACGCCAACGTGAGCTTGAGCTGGAGCAAACACGCCAGCTCAAACAGAACGAATATGCGAGCAAGCTTGCAGAAGCTCAAGAGGAAGCAGATCGTTTAAGAAGGCTACGACAGGATGAGTCTGACGAGGTTCAGCGAGCAAATGTTCTTGAACAGTACCATCAGGTAATCGAGGACCTGAAGAACCCTTTGAAAACGACATCCACAAGCATCGAGCCTGAATTGGATGATACACCGCACTTGGCTAGCTCAGATATTACGGAGACTGGAAGATTGCCTCTTCATGAAGGGAGCTTTCAGGGTCACGGCAATGGTCATCACAATGAGCCCGACTCTCTCAGCCAGATGCCGAACAAGAAGTCATCGATAGCCCAGACCCAATGGTTGCATGACAAAAAATTCCAAAATTTCCAGAGTCCTGAAGTCGACGAATTAATGGAAATGGTTGGCATTGAATCGGTGAAAGAAAAGTTCTTGGCCATCAAGGGGAAGGTCGATATTTCAATCAGACAAAATGTCGACATCACCGATCGCTTTGGAACCGTGCTGCTTGGGAACCCTGGCACTGGAAAAACGACCGTTGCACGCCTCTACGGCAAGTTCCTCGCGTCTATGGGTGTCATTCCCGGGGACAAATTCATTGAGACGACTGGGTCCAGGCTGGCGAATGAAGGTGTGGTAGGATGCCAGAAGACGATCGAAGGGCTTCTGAAAGACGGTGGTGGTACCATTTTCATCGATGAAGCCTATCAGCTCGTGCAGAGTAGCAGCTTTGGGGGTGCTCAAGTCATTGATTTTCTTTTGGCGGAGATTGAGAACCTGAAAGGAAAGGCTGTCTTCATTGTCGCAGGCTATCAGCGACCGATGGAGAACTTTTTTGCTCACGACCTTGGGCTACGAAGCCGATTCCCCAACGAGCTGAAATTCAATGATTTTGACGACTCTGAGCTGATGCAAATTCTCATCAGTAATATTGAGAAGACGTACAACAAGCGCATGCAAGTCGAGAACGGTCTAGGGGGGCTATACTGTCGTATTGTTGCTCGTCGAGTCGGGAAAAGCCGTGGCCGTGAGGGCTTCGCAAATGCAAGATCCGTTGAAAACGCCCTTTCCAAGATTTCTGAGCGACAATCCGAGCGACTTCAACAGGAAAAACGACGGGGAACCACAAGGGTTGATGATTTTCTCTTTACTGCGGAAGATATGATTGGCCCAGACCCATCACAAGCTCTGAAGTCATCCGCTGCGTGGCACCGATTGCAAGAAATGATTGGCTTAGCTGCTGTCAAGAAAACAGTTGATGTCCTTATGGGTACGATGAGCTACAATTATGCCCGGGAATTAGACGAAAAACCCCTCGTCGAGTACAGTTTGAATCGCGTTTTCCTTGGAAATCCGGGGACGGGCAAGACATCGATTGCAAAGCTCTATGGTCAGATACTTGTAGACATTGGTCTACTGTCTAATGGCGAAGGTATGTAAGGGTGAAACCTCTCCGATTGGCCCTGCTGAAAACATGACAGTGGTAGTGAAGAACCCATCCGACTTCGTGGGAAGCGCTATAGGCCAGTCAGAGCAGAATACCAAGGGCATACTTGCTTCAACTCTGGGTAAAGTCCTGGTTATCGACGAGGCTTATGGACTTTTCGCCGGTGGGACCTCGGATGGTACGGGAGCGAAAAGTGACCCCTACAGGAGTGCCGTCGTGGATACTATCGTGGCTGAAGTACAAAGCACGCCCGGTGAAGACAGGTGTGTACTGCTTCTTGGGTACAAAGAACAAATGGAACAGATGTTCCAAAACGTCAACCCTGGTCTGAGTCGACGGTTCCCTATGGACCAAGCGTTTGTCTTTGAGGACTTCACCTCGGAGGAGCTGAATCGGATCTTAGACTTGAAGTTAAAAGAGCAAGGCTATGGAATCTCCAACGGCGGCCGGCGAGTGGCCCTCGAGATGCTTGAGCGAGCTCGAAATCGCCCACATTTTGGGAATGCTGGTGAAATCGATATCTTACTTAACTCTGCTAAAATGTGCCACCAGAAACGACTGAACGCCAACAGACAGACAGTTCAATCATTAGACGCTTATCTTGATGCCCCTGACTTCGATGAGAATTTTAATCGTATGGAAAAGAATGGTGCAAGTTTAGCAAAGCTGTTTGAAGGGGTAGTGGGCTGCAAAGACATCATTTCCAAACTGGAGGGTTACTGTCAGATGGCCAGGAATCTCAGGCAGCTGAACATGGATGTTCGCACCCAGCTGCCATTCAATTTTATATTCCGAGGTCCTCCAGGTTTGTCAGCTTTTTGGTTCTTGTTTGTTAGATACTGATGGGTGTGGTTTGTATTACACAGGCACCGGAAAGACAAGTACAGCTAGGAAAATGGGCCAGGTTTATTATGACATGGGTCTGTTGGCTACACATGATGTAATCGAGGCCTCGGCAACCGATTTGGTCGGCCAATACGTCGGGCAAACGGGCCCAAAGACTCAGAAGGTTCTGGAACAGGCTCTTGGAAAGGTTCTCTTCATCGATGAAGCGTATCGTCTTGGCGAAGGACCTTTTTCTAGAGAGGCCGTCGATGAGCTTGTCGACTGTATCACCAAGCCTAGATATGCTCAGAAGTTGATCATCATCCTAGCTGGGTATGACGCAGACATCAATCACCTTATGTCGATCAATCTGGGTCTCAGCTCACGCTTTCCGGAGTACATCCAATTCGAGCCCCTCCCTTCCAGTGACTGTATTCACTTGCTTACTAGACTTTTATCAAAAAAGAAAATAGAGCTTCTGGAGGCACAGGTTGAATTCGACATTACCTGTTTGGAAAGTCCCAGCCCTGATTTCACGGAGAGTTTATCCGAACGCTTTCACACCCTCTCTCTAACTGCAAGCTGGGCAAACGCGCGCGATGTTGGCACACTAGCAAAGGAGATCTTTGCAGAGGTCTTTCGGGCTTACAATGGCAGAAAGCTTGTCCTAGGCAAAGCAGCGGTGCTCCAGGCTCTCAATAACATGCTTATTGAGCGATTTCAACGTGATAAGATTACAGACAAGCTCTCTTCGATGTCACATTTAGGCAAGGATGAGCTCCAGCTGCCTTTGCACATGGATTTTCAAGACAAACCAGTGACCACAAAGCACTGCCAAATTTCAACTCATGCGGACATGGCAAGTAGCGAAGATTTGGGGACAACTACCGCTCACCGCACAAACAAACCTGCTCCCACCGCCGGACGCGATATAGGTGTCACAGACGATGTATGGAATCAGCTTCAAAAAGACAACGCCTCTGCAGAGGCACACGAGAAGGAGTTCCTGGGGTTGAAAGAGGAGGAAGAGAGCAAGCAGCAGGAGATCTTGAAACTACGAGAGAAAGAGGCTATAGCGGCAAGGGAACTTGACATCGCCGTCCAAAAGGCCGACGATGATTTGCAGAGACAATACGAACAAGCTCGATTGCAGCATGAAATTGAACGCCGGAAACAGGAAGCTGCTTTCGCTGAGATTCAGGCGAAGAGAGAGGCTTCAGCTGAAATGCGCCGAAAGGAAGCTCTCAACCAAAGGAAGTTGCAATGTCTGGGCGTCTGTGTTGCGGGTTACCGGTGGATTAAACAGAGTGGGGGGTATCGATGTGCTGGTGGCAGTCATTGGGTCTCTATTGCCCAGCTTGAATCTTGTTGATCTGGGATATCGGAGGGACGCCAGGATGAAGCGGAGAGACACCAAGAAAAAGGGAAGCGATGCAGAGAGACATTCGAGCGCCAACTCAAACCTAAATCTCGTTATCAACTCCGATTTGCTCAAGAAGTCATCGTGTATTATAAGAGTCAATTGCTATTGCCTTTTGGCTTTTTCATGTCACACAATGACAGTGCATTCAGAAGGACCCACGTGGTAATGTATATTAGCAGCCAGATAAGGCACCACGGAGTGGATATCGAGGTTTAAACTCAGTAAGTATCGTAACTTCTCCCGGCATGTTTGTAAATATAGTTTGATATCAGCCTAGCAGATATTGACAAGCCATAATGATCCAGGGAAAATGGGGCACGAAGTCCCGTTGGTAGTTACGATAGATCTATGCCGAAAGCTTGAAGGTAACCTGTGTTAAAAATTATTTCATATACATGCTAGAACGAGTTTGTTGGAGTGACTCGAGCACTATATACTTTCGCAGAGGGAGCAATAAACTCCCTTAGTTAGCGATGTTCAGACTTTGTATAGTTGAAAATAGTATTATCTTTCTCTCATAGGACAACTGTTCTATACCAAGCAATCTTTTTCTATGAACGCAGAGTTTATCCTTAATTCTTCTACTATCTATTCCTGGAGTTTAGCGAAATTATACGTATCGAAATAAGAATAGTACTCTTAAACTCTCTAAAATCCTATAGATTAGCAATCGCGTATCACTCTATCGTACCGTTATTTATAATCTAGTTAGATTAAAAGCCGTACTTGCCGTGTTAGCCGGCTCTGCCAGATCTCTAAAATAATAGTGGGCTAAAACTTAAAAACGAAAGAAGATATAATAAAATACGTTGAAAAGCATTGTAAAGAGCCAGAAGCAGAAGGTCTGCTGTAATACCTCGTACTATAATTTATACAGAGGGGCATCTAAATTTGTTCTATTAGTCGTCACTCTATTTACATCGCCCTAAGGCGTAGTTTGGTCATTATACAGAGTGACTACGTTACCACGGCCGGTACCACGGATAATATCCTATTTAACGAGATAAGAGCTGTTCAGACCCTAAATAACCGATGGTATATTGCTAAAGTGTATTATCTGCTATATATGGTTATCAACTTATTACTAGTAGCCTAAATAATCTAGACGTATTACCTCGCGATCCTTAGTAGGACAAAAGTCTAATAACCTCGCTAGCGATAGTGAATGGCCCCGTAATAACTTCTAATACCTCGAGTCTACCGATCTATCTTGACGGCCTCTACCGGCCTTGTAAGTTTGTTAATAACGCTTACTTAGATCATTAAAATACACATTTTTCTCTAAATTACCTTAGGCCGTGGAATAAGATAGTAGTTAGAGCCGACTATAGGAGAAAATATAGAACGACTTTAAAAACTTGCGGTAGCTATACGTATAATTCTCGGATACGTTAATAAAGACCCAGAGCGATATACCAGAACTATGCTTTATTTCACTAAAGGCTACAAGGAAGATATTCTAAACCTAGTTAATGGGGCTGTTTTCCATGAGGGTAATAACGAACTAGTTATTGTGAAAGATATAGATATTTTCTCCCTCTACGAACACTACATAGTTCCATTTACTGGTTATGTACGGACAGATCTCTACGCCTAGTTCTCTAGCTTAACTCTGATTATATAAGACAGATACATATCGGTTATATCCCTGACCGCCGCATTATCGGTCTCCCTAAACTAGCGGGTTTAGCTAAGATATTCTCCCGCAGACTCTAAGTCTAGGAGCGTCTAACTAAGTAAGTTACCCTAGCTATTTAATATACTTAGATCTCTAGGAGTCCCTATTGTTATATAGTCCTCCTACCTTTACAAGGCTATGCGCGGTATATAGAAAGTCGGGAGCCGTATAATAACCGGCTACATACTAGGATATATATAGTCGAGTATAATGAACAAAGGAGAGTTTTTGTCCTACTTATATAGGAGATAATTAATTTCCTTAATAGCGTGTTTATATTAGCTACCGTTACTTATTATATCTTCCGATTTTAATAGTACTTTATATTTTCTATCTTTTGCCTTCCTCTTTATACGTTTCCTTTTTCCGAAACTTAGTATTAGCGCTAAATTAATAAGCCTATTTACAGAAAAACAGTGTAGGGTATAGGCCTCTTCTATAGCAGTTTATCTTGAATTGGATGTCAAATGCATTAATCTAAAGCTAAAGAATATACAGATAGTGTCCTACCTAGTAATTATATAGTATTACACAAGTCGATAATTCTATACTATACTTTTATTATTTAACCGGAGTTTTTATGGTATACAAGTCGCTAGTAGGTGAATTAGAATTGTGAATAATGTTAGGTTAGTATAGGGGAACTTTGGCGGAAAACCTCTCTTTATTTATTATAGAACTTAGATATTTTATAGGGGCAATAATATACTAGTATATATATATACTTTCCTTTTTAGGTATTATAAATAACAAGTTGTTTTAATTTATTTAGTCTTATCGTATGTGTAAAATAGGTTATATATTATTATTGTAGAGTTCTGTGCGTTATAACCTAGTATTATAAATATAGGTCTAACCCAAATGTATGAGTAATGCGTATCAGGGTGACAGTATATTACTATTAGGATAGGGGATCTAATAATTAGGAGTAGATCTACGGCCTTGCTAAGCATGGATCCACTTCGGTTATTAGCTGCTAACCAGACGCTTATCTACTAAAAGGGTTGGAGCGCCTATAAGGCCTTTGAAACTTTATAAATCACCTCTAGCGTAAGCGTTTTTAATATATGGAGCTACCTTATATCTGCACAGAGGAGTTTTCGTAAGGTATTACTTACGTCTAAGGCTAGTGCAGATAAGGAATTAATCTATCCTAGCGGAATTAATTCCTATATTGTCTAACCGAAGAACTAAGTTGATTAAAACCTAACTTGATATTCTTATTGTAAATATAGCCTCGGTTATTCTATCCGGGAAAAATCAATTAATCTTCCTCTAAACTACCACAAAAGGTAATATTTTAATATGATTAGTAATAAGATCGGTAGCCCGAACGTCTAGCATAGAATGCCTTTACTTCACAAAAGCAATAGTAGAGATTTTACTAGACAGTATGTCTCCTGATCCCCCCTCGCCCTCCCCCCTAACCACTAAATATACTGGACCTGAGGATAAGGAAGTAACGTAGACTGCGATATCGCCTGTCTATGGGTACCTAGGAGGTGCCTATCGCCTGTCTACGGTGGGTAGTGGGCTATTTAGATTTTCGAGTGCCTGTCTATAACGCCTACGGCCTATAGGCGTACCTATCGCGGGTATACCTACTACGCCTACTATTGTATAAATTCTCCTAAAATAGACGTATAACTCGCTGACTTCGTATAATAAATAACTATTATTTATACCTATTTTACTAACTCTATATAAAATCGTAGCTTTAATATATAATATATATAATACAATTTAGAATATATTCCTTATCGAAATATACTATATTATATAGTATTTTTATTAACTTACTAAATTATACTATAATAGTTTAAAGATATATATTTAAGTTAGTAGTATATACCTACTATTTTCTATAAGTAAAATACTACTTCTATCTTCTACTCTATCGCTTATCTAGGTTTAATTCTTTCTAGTAGATCGAAAGAGTATTAGTATAATTATTATTCTATAAGCTTATATTACTAAATTCTATCTATTCTAGTACTAAAAGACTTATATTATTATTCTAAGAGTTTTAAATCCTTCGATTCTAACTTAAGATAAGCGTTTAGGTATAATCCTATAGATATACCTATAGGTACGCCTATAGATAAAGACCCTTATAGCTAATTAGCTTATAAAGGATAGTAGATCTATACTTAATTTATAATATATTAGATCTATATAAAGCCCCCCTTTTACTAGTAATACCTATTTTATATAGTCGTAAGTTACCTATTATAAGTTAAGACTATATACTCTCCTTTAGTTATTTATACTATCCTTTATATTATATTAACTATATCTTAACCTAGTACTTTTATTATAGGGCCTTTTTTACTTCCTCTAAGCTCCTAACTAGACCTCTCCTATATCGCTAATATCTTTAATTCTACCTTTAATCTAAATATTAATCCTAGTCTCTTTAATAGCTAATAGACCTCTATATTATTAATAGAGTCTAAGTTTACTTAACTAGCCCTTCTTAATTACTTACTTAAATATATTAGCCCTAATTAGAGAAAGTAGTTTATCCTCTATAATATAATAAATAACGTATCTAAAGTAAAGTTTATTAAGTAGTAGTATATAATAGTACGCGGTAGTAATACTAAGATATAAAGGCTATAATAGGATATAAAATATATATTAGATATCTAAGAGAACTTTAACTAAGTAGTATATTATATTATAGGCGAACCTTTAGTATTATATTAGATATATAGGACTATATTACCTTATCTAAGAGTAAAGTAAAGCGGTACTAATATACTAAAGTAGTATATAGCCTTAGGTAAATACTAAAAGGGTAGTAAAAGTAAGTCTATATAATAGTCGATTAAAGAGACTATATAGTATATACTAGTAAGTCTTATATAATTATACCCTTTAAGATAATTAATAAGTTATATATTAGGTACTAGCGTTATCTTATATATTAAAATTCTTAAATAATAAATAAGAAAGAGAGTAGATTGAATATCTTACTAGTCTAAACCTACCTTTCTAGATACTTAAAAGGAAGTAGTTTACTTCCTTAATTCGAATAGTATAAATTTAAGTAAAGTACTTATAGATATATTTAAGAAGCTTAATATTATTAATTATATATTAGCGATTATATTAGATAATATATTTAATAATATAACTCTAATATAGGTAATTTAAGACTCTATTAACTCCTTTAAACTATTAAATAGCCTAGTAGTTATTTAAATCCCTTATCTTATATATATTATCTAACTAAGCTTTCGTAAGCTACTAAGATTAGTAAAAGCCG